AGTCCTTGAGGGGGAAATAACAATATGATATTTCACTAGGTAATATTTACTGTTACAGGTGGTTTGAAAGACCTTCCCCTCTATTTACTACACAAGAATTCTGACAAAAATTTAATTTATTGTTGTGGTGTAACTTGATGACGGAAAAAACTTTATATGTTGTGGTCTCTATCAGACCTAGATCAGTATGTAATACAATACAAGATGGTTATACAACCTTTACACACTAAATATGAGTGTGAAAACAACCCAATTGGAATATTTTATGGGGTTTTATGTTTTTGAAGTGATTCTGGATAAAATAGTGAAGTTGGTTGTTGATGCTAATGTTGATGTTGATGTTGGTGTTGTTGTTGGTGTTGTTGTTGTTGTTGTTGTTGTTGTTGTTGTTGTTGTTGTTGTTGTTGTTGTTGTTGTTGTTGTTGTTGTTGTTGTTGTTGTTGTTGTTGTTGTTGTTGTTGTTGTTGTTGTTGTTGTTGTTGTTGTTGTTGTTACTGGTGTTTACTAAACTTTAATGTTGATGACCACTGAGCTAGCTGGGTACTGTGCTTGGCTGGGTGATGATGGGAGGAATTGGTGAAGGAGGGGCCTCCTTATATATTCTTTTCTGAGTTATTTTTTCTGGTGGTGTTGCAGTTGAGGTGATTTTGCTGGTGGTGACCTTGTGGGTTGCACTGCCTCCTGCAAAGAGTACATGCATTGAGCTAATTATGCTGTGGAAATAAATAAATATGGTACTACTGTATGTAAGGATTGTATAACTGGTTGCACTGCCCGGTGGAGGTTTGTCTGTCCACATGCATTTGTGCAAAGTCTGCGTAAATTTAATTCAGTTACTAAGTGGTGGCCTAATGGTTTTGCACATATGCATGCAAGAATTGCACAAATGATCTGCACTACTGGTGGAGGCCTGCTGATGTGATAATTTATGTGTATGTACTTATATATATGTGGTAAACTACTATTAAATACTAATGAATGACTAGTTATGGTATGGCTTTAACCTTTATATTGGATTAACTTCTAAACTAATAGAGATAGAGGTATAGTTGTGGTGAGTGACTATGGGTAAGGTTTTATGTAGATTCTGATTATGCAATAATATATCCATATATGTAAGTGGTTTAGGTTATAAGGTAGGGGTTTTGGCAGTTTTGTTGCGCACAACAGCCTGGACCACCACACCGTCCGATGAGGTTGTTGTACCTGATTGACCAGAAGGAATCCCTTCCGGTTGAGGATGTAATGCCTAATTGAACAGATGGGATTCCTTCCAATCAATGAGGTATAACAACCTCATCAACTGGAAGGAATTCCTTTCAATCAATGAGGTGTAACAACCTCATCAACTAGAAGGTTGTTGTTTCTCATTGACCAGAAGGAACTCCTTCCGTTCATGTGGGAGCAACTCCCAAATCCCCTTAAGCATAAGGGGTAGTTTTGGGATCCAACTTGCAAAAATAAAATAATATAATATAAATGAATTGCCAACTCCCAAAGTTGGCCATCCTTTTGGAAAAGCAACTCCCAAGCAAAATCTGACAACAGTATTTAGGAGTCATTGATGAATCCTTGCGAGTTGTTTTTCCAACCCCCTATATTTATGATAGACAAGAGATGGCCAGGATCAATTATGTCATGAGGTCCGAGCTATTGATGAGTTTTGGGTGATGAAAAAGTTGGAAGAAATACTGCAAAATGAAGAAGAGTGAGGATCTGAGGGTCAGAGGGCTTGAGCTTAGAGCTAGAGGGTTGATAAATTATAATTAAAAACTTTTTATTTCACACAAGTTTTGGTAATCCACCAGGAAAAAACAATGATCACTTGATGACAAGTGATATCAGGCTAAGTTCATCATGCTACCCAGTATGTACCAAGCTAAACTCTAGTTCACCCCGCTGAAGCACACAAAGGGGCCATTGTAGTTGGATTGCAGTACCACTCAAGCTACACTGGAGTTGTAATCAATGCTACACAATGTCACCTGTCATCTGGTGAGCATTGTTTTTTCACGGTGATCTCATTGGCAAGAAGATGCTGTATGTTATGTGAGAGGCACTGGCATGGGTGGATTCTGTAGCCAATTTGTCTTTCAGGGTTCAAGGGTTATTGGATGTATGTATCTTTGAGTGGAAGGATCCATAGCCGTGTAAGGATAACTATAAATAGTAGTACATGTCACTACAAAAAAATGTCAGGCAACTGCTGCCAGTTGACATGCAGCATGCTCCAATCAAGCCTCAATGGAAACTAAGTTCATTGTGTTGACATAATTGAGTGGTACTAACCTGTGGCTTCAAAGGGGTGAACCAGAAAAATGTAGAACAAAAGTCTGAGTTTGACTTGAGTTCAGTGTAGAGTATGGTGGGAGCTCCTGCATGTCAACTGCCACCAGTTGCTTGACTTTTTCTTGCAGTGTGTGTGAGACTGCAGATTGCTTGAACATGAAAACTCATTGATGGCATGTCAGATGTTGTATCACATGACCCTCTTTCCAACTGTGGAAGCAGTCTGAGCTGATCAAAATCTTAGGGGAAACCCTTGAAATTTCAAACCAAAAAAGTGTGCTTTTGATATACTTTGATTCTGGAATATACATTTTTGTTTTGCTATCTAATCCTCAATTGATAATAAAGTGTATATACATACATGTTAGACTTCTTCTGATGAAAGGTGTGAGATCATCAACAGAGAATCAGATTTGGGACAGATTTATCTGAGTGTTATGGCAGGATACCTCAAAGATTTATGACTAGAAGTAGATAGGAAGACATTAGTGGTTTTCATATTTGAAATTCAGAGATTTTCAGAGCCAACTTCAAGTACTTCATCAACAACTGTTTAAGATTTTGTAAGTTTGGAACGAGTGAAAAAGTTGCCTTAGTCTCTGGTGAATAATTTTAATTCAAGCTGATGAAGTCTAAGAAACCAGCAAAAAATTCACTGCCAACATGATTGGCTGGGTTGAGGTTATACCAGTTGAACTGGGATGCACTCAACCAATTTAAACCTGGTTGGATTCCAGCCAATGAAATTTGAATTTAAGGTAGGTTTGGATTTATTTTGCATTGGTTGAGATTCAACCAAGTTTAACTTGTTTTAGTGCATCCCAGTTAAACTGGGATGCCCTCAACCTAGCCAATTATGCTGGCAGTGCTGGAAATATTTTCAAACAGTTTTGAGAAAAAGAACAAAATTGTCTGTTTATAATTAGGGACTGAGACTTGGAACAGGAGAAGGTAGAAGCCTCAATGATTTTTTTTGGTTTTTAATTGAAATGTGAAGTAAAAAAGGCCTTATATTCTTCTTATGCATATCTTGATTATGTACAATGCAAACATTGGTCTTACTCTAACCATCAAACTTCAAAGTTCCATTGTGAGAAGTGTGAAAAGGTGATGATTTTTGGCCCATTGAAGGTGATTTGCAGATATATTGAGGGAATTGACTAAGATTGCTTGGCCAGCAGGTTGATTTATAGTCAACAAACCTTCTTTGCCTTTCACCGGCAACCTCTCCCAATCGGTAACACACAACGTTAACCTGAATCAAGCTCAGCTCTGCACCCCATCCTCTGTTCAACCCCCACAAGTGGAACTTCTAGTGTGCCTCTGCATCAGGAAAACATGAGACTCAACATCCCAATTTTCCTCTTGGCTGCTACACTGCTCTCTACATCATTGGCCATGCCCCCCCTGGCTGAGCATGAGGTGGTACACACTGAATTCCATCTAAGCCCTCACCAAGGCCATCATGAAGGTGGCAGTGGTCAACAACTGGAAGAATATGAAGCTTGTAGGCATTGCAGTAGTGGATCTCATTCCTCTGATTCATGTCCTGAAAGACCAAAATCATGAACCTCTGCTCAACCCACAAACACAAACAATATAACACAAAATACCAAAAAAAAATTGCATCATTGAAAAAAAAAAAAAACACAACAAACAAAACACAAAACAAACCAGAAGAAAAAGGGCTTCAATAAAGGGCCCTTTCCACATTTGGATGTGGTTTTTTGTATTTAACTTTTTAACACTTATTTTTAATGTTTTTCAAAATTGGAAGTTTATTTCCTAGTTTGCAATAGGCCTAGAATTTGATGGTAACATTCAATTTTCATAAAACTCAACAGTTCAGTTTGAATATTGTAATTAGTCCTATTTTGTCAATTAATTTTTACCAGCTTATAAATTCTGATTATTTTTGACATTTTGAATTCTTTTCCTACACTTTCAGACATGTACAAAATTATGGTAACAATCATTTTGCATCAGAGCAAAAAACCATATCTTGAATATTGCATTTGACACAGTTTTTTTAACTAATTCTTACAGGCTTAATTGTTATTATTTTTTGGAATTTTAACTTAATTTCCTACATTTTCAAAGGTTTGAAAATTGATGGTATCATTCACTTTACCCAAAGATCAAAGCTTCAATCTAAATATATAGGAGCTTACCCCATTTCTTAAATAATTTGTACCATATACCAATTTTATTTGTATGCAAAATGGCCATTGAGAGTTGTATACTCTCAATGGCCAAGGGTGTTCCTCTTGGCCATCAAGGTGTACAGAGGGGAGGGGGGGGGGGGGGTAGATCCTCAACAGCCAGGAGGATTCTGGCCACTGAGTGATTACAAGTCTCAACAGCCTTCCCGCCTGTTGAGATTTGTAGGGCATTCCCCAGAAATTTTCTCTGGGGAGTGCTTTATTCGCATATTCAATTGCTTGGGAGCCGACTTCAATTCCCAGTGCAGGAATGGGAGGTACAACTCCCAAGTTTGAGGGGGAACAGGGTTTTCAGGGCTGGGCATGTCCAGGGATGGTCCCCAGGCAGTCCGCTCAATGACTTCCAAATTTGGGAGTTGTTTAGCTAAGGCCCTATAAAAATACAAGCAATTTCTATAAAACATAGTCTCCTTTCCATAGGCCAAACATTTGGATGCAGTCTTCAAGATCAAGGAGAAAAAAAAAGAGAACCACCCCAGAAGTTGATTTCTACAATTTACCCAATCGTTTGAAGTTTGCAGGTTTTGGATTCTTCGCAGAGACGACCGCCTGGATAGCATCCTGAACATCAGTGGCTTGGAGCGCATTAGCACTCCAAAGGGCGGTATAATTTAAGCCTTCATTCACAGTATGATCGGTTGAATAGTTCAACAAATGTTTAGTGCCTAAGGTGGCAATCGGTGATTTCGCTGTTGGTTCGGATGAGGCATGATGATATTATACAAGTCAGTGAATCGTTCATCAAAAAACAAGATAATGTGGAAAGATATTCGATCGATACTTACAAGCGATCTGTTGAGCTAGTTGAAGAGCTTTACTCATCAAAGCCTCTTTGCCGCCTTCGACGACATGACGTTGCGCAATCAGCCCGAGTTCGCATGCTTCTTGAGGGCCGAACGACCGAGCCGTCAACGCCAATTCTCTCAGAAGTGAGTCGTTCCCGGTCTTCTTGGGCAGACGTTGTAAGGTGCCGATATCCGCCGCGATTCCAGCGTCGACTTCTTTGATGCTAAATTGCGCCTTCGAGTCGCACAGTCGGATGTCGCAGGCCGCAATGATATCGATCCCCAGTCCATAGCAGACCCCGTGAATCGCTACAATCACCGGTCGCTCACAGTCCTACAAGAATTAATACGTGGAATCGTTGGCTTAATCTTATTACTGTGGAACTGCATCGAGGGAGATGAATGGATAGGCTCACCTCAATCTTCGAAATCGCAGCTTGGAACTCGAGCACATGCTCTCGAAGCAGGAGTCCAGACCTAGCTGAATCAGCTCCCTACAACGAAATCAAGTTGTCTGATTGAGTCGATTGTCAAAAAAATACGTATCTTTGACAAGAGGAAGAAAAAAAAAAATCTACACACTACTAGTGAAAGACTGTCCTCTTTCAAGTCCAATCCTGCCGTGAATGCCCGGGTGTTTGAGCACAGTATGACTGCCCGAACGTTTGGGTCCTGTCGAACCTTGGCGAAATTCGAGCCCAAAGAGCTCCAAAACGGCGACGAGAATCTACGTCCAAAGTATGCAACGCCGATACACACAGCCAAGAGAGAGAGAGAAGAAATCGTTGGTTTCAAGTGGAATCGTAGGTCAACGAATTGGTGAACTTAGCATACGCACTGAAAAAAAAAAAAAGAAAAGATCAAGCATCGATTAGCATCTTGTCAATCATGATGATCATAGAAGTAAGACCTACTTGAGAGGGGGCCTATTTAGAGACAATCGGAGGACTGAGGTGCTCGGCCAATCGGCGAGGATGAGTGGGCCGCCATACTCGGTCTGGTCCATGGTTATTGGAGGATAAAAGTGATATTGCTTTTCGAGGATGATGAGTCGGACAGTGAAGATGTTAGGGAATCGGGAAGACCGATCGAAGCTTAATGAAGGCTATCCGGGGGAACTGACTATGTCATCAGCATTAATCCATCTCAGCCAAGATGGCAGTCAACCAGGGAAAACGGCAACCAAAGATGGGTTCCTGCTCTGGCCATCGCTGTTGTCTTCAACAGAGTCAAGTGAAAGATGAGTGCCAAGTGGTGACAGTCGTCGGGTGGACCGGGGGTTCCCTCGATCTTCAGTATCCAGCAACTCGATCGACTCACAATCCAACGCCGACGACGTGGAAGAAACCAAGCACGATGCTAATAGTAAGGCACATTTGACTGGCTCCCAGGACCAACCAAGAGAAGAACGACCCCATCGCCTCATACATATCACAAAAATCGGTTTTGGAGAAGAAGAACAAGACTCGAAATCACCATTCGAAGTTACACAAGAGAAACCGTACCCAAGAATGGCCAATTCGAATTATTACCACCTCGAAATCCTCTCCATTTGTCTCATCATCCTCATCACTGCCTCAGATATCTTCGCCCTTGATCCCTATAAAATCCTTGGCGTCTCTCGGAAGGCTGAGTCGGTCGACATCAGACGTGCTTATCGAGTTTGTAATTTTTTTCCTTTGAGAAAAACAAAAACTAATGACGTTTTCACTCTCAAAAGAGTTTTCAGACTAACCACTTCCTTATTTTTTTTGTATCTCAAAAAAAGAAACTAAGTAAACGATGGCATCCCGACAAAAATCCGAACAACGAAGAAGCGCACCAAAAATTCCTAGAGATCTCAGAATCCTGGGAAATCCTATCAGATCCCGAGACGAGAGAGATCTTCGACAAGAGGGGCGAGGAAGGATTGAAGAGACATAGAGAAGGCGGCGACCAATCCGATGGGTTCGATTTCTTCAGCCAATTCTTCGGCGGTGGGGGCGGAGGTGGACGGAGCTCTAATTCCAAGAAAAACGCTAAGAAGAAAGGGCCGACCATGGCTACTGATATGGAAGTCGAATTGGAAGATGTGGGTATCCTGCTTCTTTTTTATTGTAATGTTATATGAGGTATAATTGGTTTGATTCATGGAAACTGACACCTTATTCACTTGTTTGATACAAAAAAAAAAATGTGCACTTTTCTCAGATTTACATTGGACGGTCGATCGATTTCGAAATTAGTCGACGAGTATTATGTCCAGCCTGTAAAGGGAACGGGGCGCGAAAGGAGACAGATATTGTAGAATGTGAGAAGTGTCAAGGGCAAGGAGTGCGGATCATCAGACACCAACTAGGCCCGGGGATATTCCAACAGATGCAGATGCAATGTGATGCATGTAGCGGACGAGGCCAGACGATCAAACACAAGTGCACACAATGTCATGGCGAACGGACGGTCGAAGAAGTCAACAGCTTGACACTCGATATCGATCGCGGCTCTCCCGATGGTCATGAGGAAGTCTTCGAAGGAGAGGGCGATGAAGGGCCTGGGTACTCCGCTGGCGACGTCCTCCTTAGAATCAGAATCAAAAAACAATCCGATGGCGGCTTTAGACGTCTTGAAGAAAACTTGTATTGGAAGGAAGTCTTGAGTCTAGACGAGGTAACAGATTGCAATCTTGTTCCAGACATGTTTTGACAAAAGAAACAAAATTACTAAAGTTTCTTCTTCTTTTTTTAAAACAAAAATAACTGTGCGGTTGTCATTCTTCATCAGGCATTACTAGGCTTCACAAGGAAAATCAAACATCTAGATGGGCATGATTTAACAGTCAGTCGGCAAGCAGTAACTCAACCAGGTCAGCATCCATCCTACCTGGCTCACGTTTTTCCTGTGTTGCTCCATTCATCAAAAAGGTTAAGCTGAATCCCCTTTTTTTTATTTTTTTTAGGATTTGTGGAAGTGATTGAAGGAGAAGGTATGCCTAGACATCAAGCCCTAGGATACGGGAACCTATTCATAGAATTTGCAGTGGTTTTTCCAATGGAAGTTTCGGGCCCCTTTAGAGCCGGTCAGCATTTGTTTTTTCTGCGCTTTCGTAGATTTGATCAACTCATCCTGACTGAATTTTTATTTCTTGTTGTAGGTCTTGAGAAAGTATTTGAGCCGTATAGGACACTCGGTGATCTTGCAAATGAAGAGAAGATTGAAAAGGTCAAATCAAAGGATGAAGATCATCAGGAATTGTAATCCACTCTTTGCATCTTTGAGCCTTTTTTTTGTGTGGAATTGGATTTATCTACATTGTGATTAACTTCCCTTCTTTACAAACCTTTCCTCTTTGTTTTCTTGCATGTAATCATTTTTCTTTTTCCTTTTTTGAGGTTTTCCTTTTTCTTTTTTTTTCTCATACAACACAATCCAAGACAAAACAAAAAAATCATTCATAGAGAGGATCTTGGTTTGGTCAATAATAAGGGCCTGTACCATAGACACCAATTTTTCATAATCCAGGTGGGAATCGGGTTTTCCATCATAAAATGGATTTGCGTACCACATGTAATGGGTAACCCAATTTCCAAAAAATCCAGATACAGATTTTGACAACATTGCTCACTTTGCAAAATTGACCATGACTACTGGATGAATGATCACGGTAATCAAGGTAGCACATCCCATGCTGGAGAACCAAGGGTGGTTGGACTCCATGGTACATCATTTTGGTCGATGATTTTTGTAGATGGATGAAAAATTGAATTATTGGTTTTGATGAAAAAAATGAAACTGGGAAATCAAAATTTGATTTTTTGAAAATCAGGGTCTATGGTACAGGCCCTAAATCAAGTGTGTCCTTTGTTTTGCTCAACTGCAAACACCTTTCTACAGCAAACCCATACATAATATTACCTTAGGGGCTGGGAATTAGGTTGTTAGCCTGTTGTGGAGTTTCAACCAGTGTTGACCTTCTCTTTAGATCATGATCAACTCATCCAGCTAAATGTATGAGCACTCAAAAAAGGGGGTTTATTGATACTGCTTTCAATATCTGACAATGAAATACAAAAAGTTTTTTTTCTCACTAGTGTCTTCAGTACACCCTCACGTACACAATCCTGTTGAAATACAATGCTTATTATCACAAATACAGCCACACATCTCCATCTTTCACTTTTAAGTTTCACATAATCTACACATGCAGGCTAAGGTAGGGTATTTACCTTGAATGAAACAGAACCTAACCTGACCCATCTGATCAGAATCACTCATTCAGCTGTTTGGCTCACCACTTTAACTCTTGTGCATTTCTGACCAATCACATTCGCTCATTCAAAGTCATCTATTTAGCTAAAACCCCGCATCTAATAGCCCAGGCAAGAGAAAAGAAACAAAAACAGGGGACTGAAAACTGAAAACTGAGAGAAATCTCAACATAGACTACAACCTAGAGGGTCAGATATTATAACATCAAAATAAATCAGGCTATAGCGGTGAGATGAACAAGCTGGAGTTTAGATTGATTGAGATTGGTTAAATCAAAAGTGAAAGAGGAATGAGTAAATGAGAATCAATATTTCAACAATAAATTTGATTTCCTTGACAGCACCAATGGTGAAACAGATACAATGCAATACAGTATCTTCAGACACTTTTGTATTAGGGGATATCAAATATAGGAAATCCACCATTTGAAACCAGTCACTTTTCCAAAAACTTTTTTTGCATCTTAATGGGCCCCAAAATGGGTCAAATGAATAACCAACATGTTTAAAAAAGGGTGGATTTTTTCAAACCAGTAAATTAAATGATGGTGGATTTAGTTATAGTTGATACCCCCTATTGTATCTTTTTTGTAATACTTCCAAAGATTTGTATTGTGTATTGTAACAAAATCCAGGTACCATACAATTGTATTTTATCAAAAAACTACAGCTCATTTTTACCCAATTTGGACCGTATTCAACAATTGTATTGGGCTGTATTTCTGACCAGATAAAAGGATCCTGTAGTATCTGTGTTTTATACAAACAAATTCAATGTACTTTGAGAGAAACAGATACAAATACCAATAAATACAGATACCCTGCAAAAAGATCTCAAGGAACTGCGGCCACTTGACATGCAGAACCCCTCTCTTGAAAGTTTAGTTGTTACTCAGATGTTACTGAACCATTACCTCATCCATACTTTCATGCACAGTCACTGTGCACCTTGCACAGTGAGTCAAATTTTTACATTGGAATCAATGTCTCAACAATGAGCCATATTGACACACATATGCAGTGAAAGATAAAGGACTACATAGGCAAGAGATGACCAAAGGCCAGCAAGTCAAGTTTCCCCATCCCTGAAAGAGAGGTCTTGCAGGTCTCGCTAGGTCTCGCTACAAGAGGCTTTGATATATCGGCTCGGGCGACAATGGACCGGTATTATGTACGTGGCCTGGGGCATTTAGATGGCTCTGGTTTGATGAATTTCCACTTGAGTTGTTGTTGGTCGACCCACAAGTCAGCACGAAGATGGCTGCACTGTTCACACTCTAGATTGATTTGTACCCGATATGTCGCCGACTGCCTGCCCTAGACCCATGGGGCCTTGAGATTCCCCTCGTCCTCTCCTGGGTGAGCCCTGGAGCCACTCAATCCTGAATTTCTCTAAATGTTTTTGACAACCGAAACCTGACTGGAGAAGCTAGCTTGGAATAGCATGCTCGCTCATCCCATTTCATCTTTTCGCTGGCTCGATTTGTAGAGGCCCCGTCCATTCATTTCTATATAAATGATGAAATGAAACCTCAGTGGCACAAGGTATTGCTTTTTTTGATGAGGTGGCACTCTTGCTCCCAAAAAACAGTGGTTCATGTCCAATATCAGCTCTACGTCTGCTTGTTCAGCTCTGTCCCGCATAGAATCCAAGGAAAGAACACCCTATTTATAAATGAGTAGATTGGCCAATGCTGCTGGCAAGCTAATCCTGATTGATCCAACAGCCTTGCAATTGATGACCCGAAGTTCGTATCATTTACATGTGTTCAATTTCCGTCACTACGAATCGCTTTCGTCACCCTGAAGTAATATTTCGGATACCAACCTTCCTAGCGAATCCGGAGGCCTTCAGCACCTTCTGTCCGCTCTGTTCCAGGCCGTCAAGACATTAGAGGTACACACAGTTACATGGTTCCTGCAAAACTGATCAGGGACAATACAACCTGTGAACAAGAAAGGATGGCAATAGATGTGCATACATGCAGATCAGTCGCAGGACGCAAGCCATCTTGAGATGCATCATACTCGGCTTCTCTCCTTGATCAAGGTCTTCATCATCAGTTCAGAGGCCAATGACCCGGTGCCTTGGTTTGCGAACCAGGACTACCTCGCTATCTGTATTGCATGTCATTTTGCCGAATGGGTGACGTAGGTGATGAAATTTGGTTTGATTGTAAGTGATGGTGATGGTATCAAACTTGATGGCTGTAGGCGCTCATACGCGACACCAATTGTCTTTCCTAGTGCTTCGATCACCCAAACGTCTTATATGGACCTGCGTGCTTGCAGCTTGATGATGCCAACGACTATCTGTGGGCCCCTACTGTATGCCTCCGAGAAGCTTCTCGAGGGCACATCGGCCGAGACACGCAGTTGCATCCAATCGACCAGCGACCTCAGAACAAACCTGTAGCTTGACTTCACTAAATCAGGAAAATACCCCAGAGCTTTACCGAAGAGCTCCTGAGCAGTCATGTAAAGCTAGCCGGCTGGCTGCTCCTTTCAGTCTAACACGTCATGTTGGCCGAGATGGTCCGGGCCAGAAAGATTAAGGAAAGACGATTTGTCCATGTGTAGATTTTTTCCGGATGTGGGACAAAACAGAGGCCGATTAATTGTTAGTGCAGCTGGGGAGGGCCAGGGGTAGTCTTGGACTGGACTGTCGAAAAAAAAACCTGTCTGTGGGCTAGGCCACTTTCCCAAAAAGCTGTCCGTGAGCTGGTCCACTCGTCCGTTTTGCCTGTTCCCAGCCTGGAGCTCAGGCACAACCTGGCTGGTAGAGCCAACTCCAGCCAACAGCTACCGGGGAGACCCCACCCTTTGAGTATTATCCCCCATGCATGTTTTACTATAAAATGGTGCCGACTCGGCCCATTCTGAACGGATCAACAACAGTCCTTCCTTCATTCTCATTCAGACCTTAGTTTCTTCAAGGCCCAACGCTGCCCTGTGTCTTAACTCTCCTTCTACCGTTGCGCAAGGTTTTTTTTACCCTTCCGCCTAAAGCACCTTCTTTCGTATACTGAGTCATCACGACATCTACCAAGTCCATTACTCGCGCCGTTTAACGCAAATCCACTAACGTGAGTTCCCCAGGCCATTGCCCTCCGTGTTTTTGGATGCTCTATTCCCGAGTTTGCTTGAGCCCCAGGGCATGTGCCATCCCCTCCTTGACCCTTTAGCTGATTTTTCCCCTCGGTAGTAGCTTCTTTACAAGAGGAGGAATTCTTCTTGATCTTACCTCCACCAACCATTCCAACCAACTCCCTCGTCCTAAACACAATTAACTTACATCGTATAACCGCATCGACCTTTGTCCGGTAAGCCGAGCACTCATTCTTCCTGCGCTTGAGCTGCCCTTATATCAATCACCCTTCTCATCTCCTTCGGTGTAGTTGACCATCCCCTTGCCCCTCACTCTTTTATTTTATCAACAAAAACTTCTAGATCGCCATGTCTACTTATCGTCTGAACATATTCATGGCTGTTTGCCTGGCCGCGCTAATGCTTCCTGTCGAAGCAGTCCTCGTACCGTAAGTCAACCCCTGACAATCAATGATGACTCTTGCCATTCGTCTAACACCGTCTATCACACCAGTCATTCGGCGAAATTGCATCGTCGTCTCACATTTGTGGCTCAAGCCCCACCATCCAATTGGGCCAGCGCTTCCCTCGAGGATTACCAACAGTATCACTTCCGATACTTGGCTCTTGGCTGCAATCTTCGCAAAGGCCAAACCTTCTTTGACACTTGCTGCCACCCCCGTTTGAAGACGGAAAACTTGAAAGATATCCCCTTAGAATGCAACTTAGATGCCGAGAGCATGGTCAAGGCCCTTTATATATTAAAGTCTAGCGACGCTACCGGTAACATCACAGCTGGTCAAGAAGGAGAAGGCAAGCCTGTGTTCATCCCCAATGGCACTATTCGAGCTATTGTCGCCAGCGAGGTAAGGCATGCTCTCTCTTGAACAATACCCCTGATCGCCGTTCTAATATTGTTTTAATCACGGTTTGCTCAGGGATGCAACAGCTCAGAAGTGCCCACAGAAGCTCAGCTTGCTCAGCTTTCTGAGATCTCCAGACAAGTTGCTCTTTTGTCCAATTCTTCGCACTTTGCCAATGACACCCACTCGTTCAACTACACCATGAACAGCACCGATTTTGGCAACCTGACCAACTTCTTGAATTCCAACATCACCGGAATGGCTAACCTTACTCAGTTCTTGCCTGCCAATCTCACCCGTTTCTTCAACAACAACATGACCAACGTCACATCCTGCAAACCTGTCAAGCTCGCCACCAACCAAACCGACAATTCGAAGTTCGTGGCTGTTCCTAAGGAGCTTGCTATCAAGGTGAGTCTGGTATATTCCCGTATCTACCCTGTCCACCCAACGCTCACCACTCTTTATCTGTTTTTCCAGGCTGTTACCGAGTCTGTGCTACCTGTTGCCCCTACCCAGTTGCAAGCTGCTGTAGTCGACCATTCCGTCGACACCAAAGCCGCCGCTGACGATGCTGCTGCTGCCAAAGCCAAGAAGGATGCCGATGCAGCTTCTGCGAAAGCAAAGTCCGACGCCGAGTCAAAAGCTGCTGCCGATGCCAAATTTGCCGCCGATGCCCAAGCTGCCGCTGACGCCAAGGGCGCTGCGGATGCCAAAGCCGCCGCTGAGGCTCAAGCCGCCGCCGATGCGAGAGGCCGAGCTTATGAGAAAGCTGCCGCCGACAAGGCCGCTGCTGAGGCCCAAGCCGCCGCCGACGCGAAAGGCCGAGCTTATGAGAAAGTTGCCGCCGAGAAGGCCGCTGCTGAGCAAGCCGCGAACGACAAAGCTGCTGCCGACAAAGCCGCCGCCGACAAAGCTGCCGCCGAAAAGCCGCAACCAAAGCCTGAGAAATCAACCGTCTCGGATGTCGGGTCTGCGGTCGGAAATGTTCTCAGTGGTGTCTCACAAGTCTTTGGGGCTGATGGTGGGGCGAAAGCCACCTATTTCTTCCAAGTACGTGCCAGCTTTCCATTCACGTCTTTGACCATCGGATCTAACCAAGTGCTATTTTGTTAATGCAATCAGGAAGGAGGAATCGGCGCCTGTGGAACTGCCAACTCCGACAGTACCCCTCTAGTTGCTCTACCCCCAGGATTATACGCCAACGGTGCCCATTGTGGAAAGGACGTGATGATTGTCAACACCGCCAATGGCAAATCGGTCACTGCGAAGGTACAGGACATGTGTCCAGGTTGTCCCTCGCCAACATCTCTTGACGTGAGTTTTCTACCTCTAGAGAAGATCTTTTTTGCACGCTTGTCTGACTATAAACCTTACGACAGATGTCCACCGGAGCTTACGATGCTATCGGTGCACAAGAAACCGGTGTCTTGCCCATCCAATGGGGTTTTATCTGAGACCAATTCATCTCTCCTGCCATATATAAAGCGCAGGTGAGAAGAGTAGGTTATTCATAACGACTTATCTTCCGAAAGCCACGCGTCTTTCTTGTACTATCCTTTCTTTTGGGAGCTTGGGAGGCAGCTCCCCCGGCTATGTTTCCAGTATTAGTTTCTAAGCCACTGTCATTGTGGTCTTATTATCGTTACTTATCGTTATCCACACAAATTATCATTTTATTAAACCGCAAAAGAAAAAAAAATTGTAACACTTTGGGTTGTCTGTTCATCTGGTCTATTGAATTCATTTGAGTGTTCTGTCCATTCAATTCAAACAAGCCCAAAGGGGCGTTTGTCAAATAAGAATCAGGGAGGACAGCGCCCTTAAGTTACAAAGCTCCAAGACAAACGCGGCGATCATGACTGTCATCTTCGACTTTTTACTATCAAACATGAACTCATAGATTATTGAACGTTTATGTCAGGACACATATGAAATCATAGTTTATTGTCAGCACACATAATGTATCGACAAGCGTGATAAGTTCCTGCTGTTGTTTTTTGACACTGTAGCAGTTGCATTTGCATTTTCGGACTGTCTGATAACAAACATTCATAGATAATAAAAGGGCCGAAGCTTCAATCGATCTGCCTTCTTTCACCTCGCAAAAGGCGATCATAATCATCCATGACGTTTTGGAAAGTATCTTGTAATTTTTCTCGGCGTTCTTCCTTGGAAAGATCGACCAGACTGTCATAGTTAAACCTGGTAGGAAAACCAAAGGGTTGAGTTCCACAGGCCACATTTTTGAATGAAAATGCCAGGTGGGGGTGCACACTGACCGATAAAGGCGCTCTTTAACCGCTATTCGATAGAGTCGTTCTAATTTTGTATTATCTGACTCTTCAAGTGTTGTGAATTTCCATCGCAGGGCCATTTCTAGTAACCTGGCAAATTGCCTCTAGATTGGCGCGCCTCAACAAGAATCATCAGTTAATCCAAACCAACCACCCATACAAACAAACAAGTCCTTCCTACTATTGAGGAATTAAAAAGAAAGAACTCACATTAGCCAATTTCCATTTAGTTCTCGTCTTTTCATACCATTCACTCGGAACAGGCACCAATTCACTGAGCGGTTTCTCATCAAACACTTTGTTGTCAAACAACAATTTCAAATCCTCTCTGTCTCTCAAATCCTCAAACGATTCTGACGGATCCTCTAGAGTTAACTCCGCAACTTCTGGCCTTGTCAGCAGATATTGGAATATTTGAGAATACAACATAGCTACAAAAAGACGAAAAAGAACGAGGCTTCTTAGGCAGGGTGTTAAACATCGAACGTCGGTTGAGCTAATTCACTTACATCCATGTCCGTTTGATTGGTATGGTGGTAGAACTATGAACTGGGAAAGTCGTAGTCGAATTGAAGATGGATAGTGGTAAAACGAATAAAGTGAAACGTAGCCGCAGAAATGATAGCTGTAAGGGCTGGAGTCACCGTCTGCTGTTTTCACTTTCCTTCTCTCGAACCTTTTGTTGTTTTGATTTATTATGGAATAAGAGTCAGATTCGGAGGCTGAGGTCAGGGCGGTTGAATAATGCACCATCGGGTCGCTAATAAAATACTTACAAGACAACAAACTCCCAACGATCGTCGTCCTCTTCGATATAACTACCTCCTTCGATGTAGAACAAAACGAGAATCTGCATTCTCCGATGATACTCACGAAACCCAGGAGATTTCCAATCGGCGGCCCATAATTCATAGATCACGTCTTGTTCGTCTTCCATCTGATCATCCGTACACCTTTCCCAACGTTTAGAAGTGAGGAAATGTTCGGATTTTGTTTTCCCCTTGGAAGGTAATGTGCGATAGGAAGATATTTTTTTCCCAGGTGGTATGAATTTCTTCGTTCCGGAAGACTCAAGATCGGCGTTGAAAGTGGCCTCCGATTTGGTATAATCTGGCGGGATAAACTTGTAGATAATCTTTTCGACTGGATCAGGTTCGGGCAACGCGGCAGCGTAATTGATCGCGAGATAGTTCTTCAGCGTTGATGAATTGAACGCCAGCTAATCATTTTTGTTTTTCGGACAGAAGGTATTTTTGAGTATTCTGTTGGAAGAAGCTGGTGACAGTCGGAGAAGATACAACGCACCTGGATATCCAGATCTTCGTAGCCATAGATCGTTTCTTCGTCTCCAAAAAGTGGATAGACAAACTTCGGATGAAAACTGGAGATTAGGTGCTGCTCTGAAGGGGCGAGTTGATCGGCTGCAACTTTTCCCCGAGCTACCAAACACAAGAAGCGCTATGCAAGTCAGCAAGAGATTACTTACATGTAGAGGCATTGGAGAAACAGAACAGACAAAGATATTACCTAGGCGGAGTGAAAGTGCACCTGTTCCATCGCATGCCCATCGTTCCGGATCTTCTCCCGCCATGGCTTGAGGTTTCGATCGATCAGACTCTTTGGTAGATTTCGCACACAGACCCTGGTTATCAGCTTGATGCAGTCAAGAGCTTCTATCTATCCGATTTCCTCCCACTGACAATGTGAGTGGTTGTTGTAACTTGTCGCGTATCGATGGAAGGGGGGAAGGCGACACCAACTGAGCAGGACACGGTGATGACCACTCGGGGTTTTCGGGGGCTACTTCGCGCTTTTGTTACTGCCATTTTCCACGAACTTGGCGCAACTCCAGTTTCAGTGGGCCCCGACTTGTGCCTCTAATGCATGGTTTCCTACACAGGAGGAAAACCAGTTTTGGTGTAAGCCTTTTTCAAACACTTCGATCTCCTAAACCACTTCACTATTTTTCAAATGGGTTTGGCCAGGTGGATGGCCTAGATATGGCCTTTGATGTATCAGAAGTTGGGCTGCTTTACTTGCTTCCTTCCTCAATAAATCTGGGGATACAGATGTTGATTTTCATTTTTTCCAAAACACAAGAAACTTTAGTGTATCTAAGTCAAATATTCTTATTCTACAATCTTCATTATTAATCATCAGACCTCCTACTTCCTCTGCCTGAAGCAGCTAATTGTCAAATATCTTGTATTCTTATCATCTCTGAAGGTCACAGAATTCTGAGCACATCTCCTTCTTTCTGACTAGTTTGCCGACAGACCAAGTGCTTCCCTTCCTATTTACCACTCAGCAATTCTCTTGGAAATCTCTTCTGTTCCATTCTACCTTGTACTGTAGGTTAACTCTTTGTTTTCATTAACCCTGTTACTCCTAGTCTATTCTTTCTTCTCTCCTTGTTTTGCACATGTCTTGTTTCTTCAAAAGTCACTAGTGCTGTTTGCCTTTAAGGTTATACATTTTTCTCCCTTATGTGAGCCCGGGTCTCAAAAGTGACAGCAGGACACAAGGTTTGGGGGGCAATTCTAGATGTATTTCAACGGGATAAAGAAATACAACTAGAATAAGAGAAAAGGAGAGAGAGGGGAAGAGAAAAGAAATGAATAATATTTAAATTGTTTATTTATTTTATGATCAATTTTTTAATGCAGTCTTACTTTCCTTAGAGGATGGCTGTTATTAAGTGGAATTAATCTACGCCTCCTAATCAAATGAAACTGAAAAGGGTACTTGGTATTGATATGTCAATCCAACCTCAATTTTTAGATCTATGATCAAGGTTTTTTAAAGGGAAACCTATGTGGTTTTCAGTTATACCACCAAACAGAGAAGATGATGATGACTTGATTCAATGTAATGAAGTTTGAGGCAGAGGTTTAGTAGAAACAGAATGGAGTAATCATTCAGAGAGACAAAGAAGAAACTTAGCAGAAAGATGCAAGCTGAACTTGAAGGACTGACTTACATATTGGTGATCCTGACACAATGAGTGGGAGGATTCCAATAGGTGAGGGACTCCTAACAATAACACAGTGATGACATGGCGGTGAATCCAAGTTGAGGTTGGTGATTTCTGGTCTGAGTTGGTTCTGGGTGGGTCTGAAGCTTGAAGATCCTGAAAATGCGAACTCAGTTTCCTCTGAGAGAATTTTCAGGGTTGGATTACATAATCACAACATGTACATGTGGTAGAGAGTTGGAATTCCAACTTGGTTGATATTTAACAAGGTACAGTGAAATATTACAAAGTCTATGAAGGAGAAGAGTAGTGTAAAAGTGTGTAGTGGTGACTAAGGTTGAAATTGCATAAGGAATTCATTTCTGAAGTCAGAATTTAATAAAATCTTGAGGCCCACTTGTGGGGGTTGAACAGAGGATGGGGTGCAAAGCTGAGCTTGATTCAGGTTGAAGTTGTGTGTTACCAATTGGGAGAGGTTGTTGGTGAAAGGAAAAGGAGGTTTTTTGACTATAAATCAACCTGCTGTCCAAGCAATCTTAGTCCATTCACTCAAGATATCTGCAAATCACCTTCAATGGGCTAGAAATCATCACCTTTTCACACTTCACACAATAGCACTTTGAAGTTTGATGGTTAGACAAATGGTTGCATTGTACATAATCAAGATATTCATAAGAAGAATATATATAAGGCCTTTTGACATATTCTTTGTATCCTTTTTGCTTCACATTTCATTTAAAAACAAAAAACAGATTGTGGCTTCTACCTTCTCTTGTTCCAATTCTCATTCCCTAATTATAAGCAGACTTTTGATCTTTTTCTCAAAACTGTTTGAAAATATTTCCAGCACTGCCAGCATAATTGTCAAGGTTGAGGGTATGCCAGTTTAACTGGGATGCACTAAAACAAGTACTTGAACTTGGCTCTAAAAATATCTGAATTTCAATCATGAACACCACTAATGTCTTCCTATCTACCTTTAGTCATAATGCTTTGAGGTATCCTGCCATAACACTCAGATAAATCTGTCCCAAATCCAATTCTCTGTTGATGATCCCACATCTTTCATCACATGAAGTCTAACATGTATGTAGATACACTTTATAACAATACAAAATTTATATTACAGAATCGTAGTATATCAAAACCACACTTTTTTGGTTTGAAATATCAAGGGTTTCCCCTAAGATTTTGATCAGCTCAGACCGCTTGCACAGTTGGAAAGAGGGTCACATGATACAACATCTGACATCTTGTGTGCCATTAATGAGTTTTAATTTTGAAGCAATCTGCAGTCTCATGCATGTACTACCATTTATAGTTATCCTTACATGGCTATGAATTAGCTCCTTCCACTCAAATTAGATACATACAGCCAATAACCCTTGAACCCTGAAAGACAAATTGGCTACAGACTCCACCCATGTCAGTGCCTCACATAACATACAGAATCTTCTTGCCAATGGGATCATCATGAAAAAACAATGCTCACCAGATGACAGGTGAAATTGTGTAGCATTGATTACAGCTCCAGTTTAGCTCAAGTGGTACTGGAATCCAACTACAATGGCCCCGTTTTCTGCTTCAGGAAGCTGAACTAGAGCTGAGCTGGGTACATACTGCCACTGGGTAGCATGATGAACTTAGCCTGATGTCACTTGTCATCAAGTGATCATTGTTTTTTCCTGGTGGATTACCAAAACCTGTGTGAAAGAAAACGTTTTTGATTATGATGTATCAACCCTCTAGCTCTAAGCTCAAGCCCTCTGACCCTCAGATCCTCACTCCTCTTCATTTTTCAGTCTTTCTTCCAATTTTTTCATCACCCAAAACTCATCAGTAGCTCAGACCTCATGACATGATTTGTCCTAGCCCTCCACCTGGCCAGATCTTATCTATCATAAATATAGGGGGTTGGAAAAACGACTTGCAAGGATTTGTCAATGACTCCTAAATACGGTCGTTGGACGTTGTTCCTTCTGGTTGATGAGGTTGTTGAACCTCATTGATTGGAAGGAATTCCTTCTGGTCAATAAGGTATAACAACCTCATTGACTGGAATGAATTCCTTCTGGTAATGTGGGAGCAACTCCTAAATCCCCTAAATCATGAGGGGTAGTTTTGGGAACCAACTCCCAAAACATTATAAAAAAATATAATATAACAACGTCCGACGACCGTATTTAGGAGTCGTTGACAAATCCTTGAGAGTCGTTTTTCCAAATCCCTAAATATAAACTCCTCACTTTTCACTCTCAAATGTTTTATCCCTTGTGGAACTTGTAGGTTTCAATCTACAACCCGGTGGGCAACAAAATCAACAGTAAAAATGACATGCATTGTTGCAATGAACTAGGCCAGACAGACAGATGATGTGGAAGGATGAGTTCATTGCATCAGAGAAAGAGAAAGAAGGGAAAAGAGAAAGAAGAGAAAAGAGAAAGAAGAGAAAAGAGAAAGAAGAAAGAAGAGAAAGAAGAGAAAAGAGAAAGAAGAGAAAACAGAAAGAAGAGAAAACAGAAACGGCTGCTACGCTACACCACACTACAGGGACACTTACAGCATCTGCATTGGTGTTTGGATTAGGTAGGATTAGCTGCCTAATCTAATCAGTGAAACCATATCCGTTGGGATTAGATGTTGGATCAAGTTAGCTCCAGGGTCACTTTTGGAGCTAAGAGGGATTGAATTTATACCCCACAAATCCTAGGATTAAAGAGGTCCCTAATCCTCACTAATCCAATCAACTGATTCAGATGCTCTTAGTGTTAGAGCAGCGGCGCTAAATGTGGCCAATTTTGGTGTAGTGTCATTGTGCCGCTGCGTTGCACTACGCTTTAGCGCCGCTTACAGTGGGATTTTTGCTTGGTAGTGTTAGCACACTGCTACAGCCGCTACTCTACAGTGGTTCTAGCGGAAAGAAGACAAAAAATAGAGATGGTCGCAGGGTATCCGTTGCGCATACCCGCTATCCCCTGGCGGATACCCGCCAGCGCCAGCGGATACCCGCCAGGGGATACGGATTGGGGTTCGGATGTGCCCTTTTCCGCAGAAATTTGGGCGGGTATCCCAAAGGATGTCCGAGGCCAGAAGGGTGCATCTCCGGCTGGAAGGATTTCCCTTGCCGGTTGTTTAAAGGGCGGGTATCCGAGGATACCCGCTCGGATACCCGCTGCGGCCGACGGATACCCGCCAGCGGGTTCAGATGCGGATGCGGATGGCTATTTTGCTGCAAAAAGCAGCCGGATATCCGGATGCGAATTGACCATCTCTAACAAAAAACCAACTAAAAAGCGCTGTAGGACAGTTTAGTGGGCTCTTTTTTGCACATAGCGTTAGCACAGACATGCACAATCCCTTTAATGCTACGCTGACAGTTAGCTCAATTTTGCAATCTGTGCGCATAGCGTTAGCACAGCTTTGTGTATCTGCACTAAGACAGTGCTGATATGTAGTGTGTTTTTCCTAGACCAATGCCACAGTTAGCATAGCTGGCCCAGCATTGATGAAAGAAGAGAAAAGAGAAAGAAGGAAAATGAGCAAAACTTACCTAGGCCAGACAGACATATGATGTGGGAGGATGAGGAAAATAAATCCTTCCACATCTGGCTGCTGAACTGGTTTAACTACATACAACAGGTCACAGGGAATGAAATGAGAAAGACAGGTTGGAGAGAGAACACAGAGAGAAGACAGAAACAGAAACTCAACATG